AAAAAAAAATTCAACGCCGAAGACCGGCGGTGACAGACGAAATTGTCCATAAAAATGTGCTTTGGGTCAAAATTGAATAATTTGTAAAATTTGGGGTCAAATTTAGATTAAAGTAAATTAAAGTATGAAATTGGAGCATATTAAAGTATGAGGGGTTATTTTAGTGTTTTACAAAAAATTGGACCATGTGTGGACTTTTTTGTAAATGAGTTTATTTTCTAGATCTCTTTATGAATAAGTAGCCATTGATGGGGTTATTTGCAAAGACTCCTTTTAAATATTTGGATTTCAAATTTTGTATATGTTGATTTTTCTAAATTTTCACTTCCAAAATATTCTTCAAATTTACATAATTGATTTTGATTTGTTACAATTTTAATATGATTTGTCATAATTCATCGATTTTTCTACCATTTGCATAACTACCATATATAATATTATCATTCTATCCAAAATTGACTAATCAACTAAACATAATTTATTTTTTTCAATATTTTTTAACTGTTCTATATCAGTGAATTAATTATTAAATAGTGTAAAAAACAGTTTGCTCCTTAAATTAAAGCCCGTTTTGCACTTTGCCCCCAAACAAAAAAATTTGCACGTTTTTACCTGAACTTGTTAATTCATTGCACGGTGCCTCCTAAAAGGAATATTCCGACAATTTTGACCGAAATATGACAATATGTGTACTGCACATGAGATTTGCAGTGGCAAATTGGTCCCTTCACTTACATTTTATATTTTAACATATAAAACAAAATAATAATAATAAATAAAAAAAATAAAAAAAGAAAAGAAAAAAAATGAGTTCTCATCCACTCATCCCATAGACCACCATGGCACCACCATTGAAGAAGTCTTGCAGCAGCTGCTGGACTTTTGAGATTCAGGTGGAGCCGCCGACGAGAACCACCTCGTGCACCGTAGATTTATCGATTTTCGCGTCCCGTAAGCACTTTTCGACGGGCTCCATACACCTTATGAACATGTCCATACAAATATCTTTGAATCTCTGGTTATGGTGGCGTAGAAATCGATCCCTTCGAATAACAAATTCACTGTAATTTTTAACGGTATGAAGTTTTTGAACATGGACTGTAAAATTAGGGGGGGTTATGTAGTTTTTGATACTATAGGGGGTGAATGCGACCTTTTCCTTAGTACAGGGGTACAAAGTGTATTTTACCCATTATTTTATTTTACCACTTCTATGTGCAAATCTATGAAATTAGGACTTAGAATAATTCTTGCATGATTAGTAATTACGTGAAAATTAGGTGATTATGTGAAATATATGATTATATGAAATATATGATTATGTGAATATGTGATTACGTGATTATGTGAATTATGTGATTACGTGAATTATGTGCTTAGGAAATATTTTGAGATATTATGTCGAAATAAAATATTTTTCATGAACTAAGATTTTATTCTTGCATATGAATTTAAGTGAAGATTTTAACATATTTATGCATGCACAAAATTTTAGAAAATAAAATTTTCTCATGCATTTTAGGATTATTAATTAGTGGAGCAAATTAGAAAATCATCCCCTCATTTTTCTTCAATTTCCGGCCACTAATACTCACACACATGATTTAAAAAATTGATCTTAATTAGGAATAGACATGCATTAGAATGCTTGTACTTTAAGCATTAAAATAAATATCTATTAAAATAAATATATAAGCCTAGTCTCCCTACTCACTATCTAGGCATGCCTTTTACCACTTCCACACTCCACTTTAGCAAGACCAAATGTAACTCTTTTTCTTCCTCTCTCCCCTTCATTTCGGCAGCCCCAAACCACCACCATAGCAATCACCTTCTCAAGCTTAAGCCACCCAAGAACCACCACCACTCCTCTTCCAAAATATTGCAAAATCACCCCCACAAAAAGATTTATTTCCCTTTCTTCTCCATTGGCTTTGAACTCTCTAAAAACTATAAACACATCCAATGTCCAAGATCAAAATACACTCTCAAACTCCAATCTCACTATCTATAAGTTTAAAGTCTCTTTCTATTTCAGTAGGAGGAGAATTTTTGGCCAAGACTACGTAAGCCCTTCTTCCTCTTCTTTCTTCATTTTTTTTCGAAAGAAGCTAAGCTCTTCTTCATCTAAGTTCTTATTGTTCTTCTTGTTCTTCTTCTTCCTTTCTTAAGGTATAATCTAACTCTTGATCTCTTCTTGTATTAGAGAGAAAAGAGCTAACAAATCCTTCCCCTAAAGAGTAGAGGTGAGAAATTCTTGAATTCTTGCTCAAACATGCAACACCACTAGTATTTTCGGTTTTCATTGATTTATTTGTTGATTCTTGCATATTATATGATTATATTGCTTAGATGATGATTGCATGTTAGTATTTTGAAAAGATAAGTTTGTTCTTGATGTTTATGTTTTTTTTGAAAATTTGGGGAAATTGCTTATTTGTCTTAATTAGTAGCTTACATGTGTTTATCTAGTGTTTGATTGTTGATTTGTGAAAAGAAAATGAATTTGTGGCCTAACAATGAAACTTTCGAATTTTTGGGTAAAAATGCTTAAATTGCTTCTTTGGTTTATTTGGTATCTTGCATGTGTTAATCTAGTGTTTGATTGTCGATTTAAGGCCTTGCATGTTATGATCTAGTGTTTCTATGAAGATTGATGAAAAGATTAAGAATTTTTACTAAAATTGATTTAAAATACTCTTGCATGTTAAGATCTAGTGGAATTACTTGAATAAACATAAACATCAAGAACAAACTTGATTTAAAATACTCTTGCATCGGAGAAGAAAAAGTCATCCAATTCCTGTGGAGGAATATTGTGTGTCGCTTTGGGATCCCACGTTCCATTATTTCAAATAATGGAACCCAATTTTGTGGCGACAAAGTGAAGAATTGGTGTCTCGGCTTGGACATCAAACAGTTCTTCACATCCGTAGCCAATCCACAAGCTAACGGCCAGACGGAGGTCACGAATCGAGCCATACTCCAACACCTTAAAACAAGGCTTGGAAGTGCCAAAGGGAAGTGGGTGGAAGAATTGCCTAGCGCCCTATGGGCTTATCGAACAACCCCACGAGCTCCCGACAAGGAAAAAAATGAGTTGTTTCATTTCAAATTGAAAATCAATTGAATCAATGCTTCTAGGCTGGAATCATAAATGGGTTATCTCCTCTCTGATTATCTTTTTCTGAGCTTTTGACTTGCTTGTTGTCTCTTTTGTTCTTACTCCAACGAGCGGTGACCGGCTTCAACCGGAGCCATTTCGGCCCGCGAGAGGAAGAAGCCCTGGAGCGCTGTCTTTCGGAACAAACAAAGACATCAATAACTCTCAGACTCAGATGATTATCTACGCAATTTATTTACCGGAGAGTCGCCTTTTAATCTGGCTTTCGGCACATAGGATATCGCACCCGTTGAAATCGGCAAACCATCTTGGCGAATCACCAACTATGATCCCGCAGCTGATTAAGAAGCTATGCAGGGGAGCCTCGACCTCGTAGACGAGCTACGAGAGATTGCATGCATCCGACAACAGATGTACAAAGCACGAATGGTCAAAGCATATATTTCAAAGGTCCGCCCTCGATCATTCCAAGTGGGAGATTTAGTCCTTAGAAAAGCTGAAGCCTCGTGCCCCATTGGTAAGCTCGACCCAAAATGGGAAGGACCATACAAAATCACACAAGTGGTCAACACTGGAGCGTATCGTCTCGAGAACCTTGACGAACACCTTATACCCCGAACCTGGAACAGAGGGAACCTCAAAAGGTTCTATGCTTGAAGTATACACCCGTCTTACTTCAAATTTGTTTAAATTAGCATCCATATCCTCCTCATACTAAAGTTGCTTACAAACACCTACCCCCGCAGGATTCGCGACCTTCCACGTCACTCGTCTTGAAAAAATGTCTCTAAGCGCCTAAGAAGTTCCTACTCCATAAAGAGGTGCGTAAACGTCCCACCCAAACTGGGGGGCTATTACTATTACCTACATCAACATTCCATAACCACCCTTCATCACCTTCTTACAGGTGGAGAATCAATTACGAGGGGATGCCTACCAACCATCACTTGCCCAAGGAGAGAAGATACTCTGCACTATCTCACCAAGGGTAACACCACTTCTACTACATGATATCACACGCATGTTCTTGTATATTTATACCAACCTAATAATGCCGTCCGATCTAACAGGCATGATCACGCAATAAATCACAGCGATCACGAGTTGATTTTATATCTCGGAGGGCGAGAAAGAGAAACAATCCGCTGAGTGGGTACGTGACGTTATAATACACATCATCCCAACTTATGCAATTACTCCCAAGCTTATTATCTCTATACTATGTAACCGTTACAACGAGTTCATAAAATACAACCCTACAAACAGTTAGAGAAATTAAGATAATCTATATAGCCTAGCCAGCTGGATTATCTGAGTCTCTCTATTTGTTTTAATGGGTCCTACTTTTAAAATGTGGCCACAAATCTAACATCCTTAAGACCCACGCGGTCCGAATAAAGGGCACGACCCTTAACAAAAACCTTGGGAGACTGATCTCCTCCTCAAGTACATCGCGTATAATGCTAAACGTAAATACATATAAGCAACGCATAAAAGGGTTCGGCCTCCACCCATTTGGTGAAGTAATCCACGACTACAATGAGGAACTTGCGCCCTCTCGTGGCGGGTGGGAATGGTCCGACTAAGTCCATTCCCCATTAGGCGAAAGGGATGGGGTTGTCAATCGGTTGCATTAATGCCGCTGGTAGGTGAGGGATGTTGGCATGCTCTTGGCAGGGATTACACCTCTGGACTAATTTCTTTGCGTCTTCATGCATCGTTGGCCAGTAGTAGCCTTGTCTCAGTAGTTTGAGAGCCAAGGTTCTACCACTCAAATTATTGCCGCATATGCCTTCATGTACTTCTCAAAGCACGTAATTTGCTGTAGTTGGTCGAGGCACTTGAGATAGGGGAATGAGAATCCTCGTTTGTAAAGTTATTCTCCCACTATTACGAAGCGAGCGGCTCTTGTATTTAACTTCCGTGCTTCGGTGATGTCAGTTGAAAGTTCTCCCTCCTTGAGATACTTTATGATTGGAGTGAACCAACACGGTTCGTCCTCCTCATTGTAATGCACTTCATCGGTTGAAGTTATCTCCAGTTGAGGCGAGGTGATGAGAGTAACTTTCCGACTCCCAATGCTTGCCATGGAGCTTCCAAGCCTAGCTAATTTGTCCCCATGGATGTTACTGGAGCGAGGCACTTGTCTTATTCCGTAGCTCTCGAACTTAGATAATAGAGTGTGCGTCAGAGCTAAGTATTTGGCCATGGAGTAATCTTTGGCCTCGTAGGTTTCGAGTAATTGGTTAACGACGAGGTGAGAGTCGCTTTGTATTAGGAGCTTACGCGCTCCAGCTGCTAGGGCGAGGAGAATTCCAGCAATCAAGGCTTCATATTCAGCCACATTGTTTGAGGCTGTGAATTCGAATCGTTGAGCATATTCGAATTCATCTCCGTTGGGGTTCGTTAATACGATACCCGTGCCACCTCCTGTGGCTGTGGAAGATCCATCAACGTTGATGGACCAAGCGGGGAGGGAGTTTCTCTCTTCTACTAAGTTCATTTCTACTAAAAAGTCGGCCAATACTTGCGCCTTGATGGCGGGGCGGTGCTTGAATTCTACCCCGTATTCACTCAGCTCTATTGCCCATTTGGCTAACTGCCCGGATGTCTCGGGACTCCTTAATATCTGCTTTAGGGGGTAATTGGTGAGAACCACCACTTGATGTGATTGGAAGTAGGGTCGGAGTTTCCGAGCCGCGTTGATGAGGGTGAGGGCGAGTTTCTCCATGTTGGTATAGCATTGTTCGGCTCCATGGAGGGCGCGACTTATGTAGTATATAGGCTGGTGGCCTTTTTCTCCATTTCGAATGAAGACTGCGTTGATGGCATCAGCTGAAGTCGCTAAGTATAGGAGGAGGGTGTCTCCGGGCTGAGGTTTCGTAAGCAATGGTGGAGACGCAATATATGACTTCAGCTCGACGAAAGCTTTTTGACAAGCTTCATCCCATTCAAACTTTTTTCCTCCCCTTAAATTCCTGAAGAAGGGGAGAGCCCTGTCTGCCAATCTTGAAATGAATCTGTTCAAAGACGCCAAGCAGCCGTTAAGCTGTTGGACTTTCTTGATTGATGTTGGTGGAGCCATGGATGTGATGGCTTCGATTTTCGTGGGATTAGCTTCGATTCCTCGATGTGAAATCATATATCCCAAAAATTTACCTCCCCGAACTCCGAACGAACATTTGAGGGGGTTGAGTTTCATCTTTTATTTTCGCAGGATGGCGAACCACTGATCTAAATCGGCTAAGTGGTCTGACATCTTGACACTTTTGACGAGCATGTGGTCAATGTACACCTCCATATTCTTGCCGATTTGGTTTGCGAACATTGCATTCACAAGACGTTGGTAAGTAGCCCCCGCATTTTTTAGTCCGAAAGGCATGACTTGGTAGCAGTAGATTCCTTGATCTGTGACGAAGCTGGCCCTCTCTTGATCTTCTGGGACGAGCAAGATTTGATTGTATCCTTGATACGCGTCAAGTACTTGAGAAGCTCGCATCCCAAGGTCGAATCGCTGCGTTGGTCGATTCTAGGCAAAGGAAAGGGTTCCTTCGGGCAAGCTCTATTGAGGTCAGTGAAGTCCACGCACAATCTCCACTTGCCCCCTGCATGACTTGGTAGCAGTAGATGGCTTGATCTGTGACGAAGCTGGCCCTCTATTGATCTTCTGGGGCGAGCAAGATTTGATTGTATCCTTGATACGCATCAAGGAAGCTGAGGAGCTCGCATCCCGAGCTCGAATCGATGAGTTGGTCGATTCTAGGCAAAGGAAAGGGGTCCTTCAGGCAAGCTCTATTGAGGTCAGTGAAGTCCACGCACAATCTCCACTTTCCCCCGGGCATGGGAACAAGTACTACGTTCGACAACCATTCAGGATACTGAACTGGTCGTATATGGCCTGCCTCTAAAAGTTTTGCCTCTTCCTCTTTGATGTGTTTGTTGCGTTCGGGACCGAATGTCCGCTTCTTTTATTTGATCAGCTTCAACCTTTTGTCGGCGTTGAGCCGATGTAGAGCCTCCTGAGGGGGAATGCCCGACAAGTCTTGGGCCTTCCAAGCGAGCACGTCTCCATTGTGCTGTAGGAAGTTGATTAGTTGTTGTTCCATCTCTGGATCTAGATCGGATCCGATGCTTAGGAGCTTGGAACCATCTTCAGATGTGAGCTCTATGAGCTCAAGCTCTTCGACGGCCGCTAGCTTAATGCTATCGTCTGGTACGCTGATGAGGATTTCTCTATTGTCCTCGATGATTGCGTTGACCCATTTCCGTTTGTCGGGTTTTTGGGTGTCGTCTCCCCTTCCGGACGGTTTGTGCTTCTTGGATGGTTCTCGTAGGGCTCTCGCATAGCACTCTCGAGTGAGACGTCTATCTCCAAGTACCTGCCCCATTCCATAAGGAGTGGGGAATTTCCACTTTTGCTGGCAGGGTGAAGACACTGACTTGAATGTATGGATTGCTGGCCTCCCTAGGATGATGTTATAGGGAGATGGATTGTCGACGATGAGGAATTTTATCATCCTGGTAATTCGACAAGGGCTCTCCCCTAAGGAGATGGGCAACTCCACTTCTCCTATTGATAAAACGCCCTCCCCAGTGAATTATTTTAGCGGTGTAGTGATGGGGCTGAATCGGGCGTTATCTATGCCCAGCTGCTTGAATGTATGGAGATACCAAATGATACGAACCCCGTAGAACTACATCCGATCTTGGAGTTCCTGGAAGCGTTTTAATCCAACTGGTAACAAGCTGCTTTCAGTTCGTTTCCATCCGATCTTGGAGTTCCTGGAAGCGTTTTTCCATTGACGACATCCTACGCTGCTCAATTCTTTCTCCGTAATAATCCGCCTTCTCGGACATGATCAAAGCAATATCCTTTTTTTTTTTTTTTTTTTTTTTTTTTTTGTGACACTAACAAACTCTAAATTAGACTCTAAGAAATTGTAAAACAAAGAACAAAATTCGTTCTTCATTTTTTTTTGACACAAACAAACCCTAACTTGGCTGGAAAAATCTAAATAAAAATAAAAATTCGAATTTTTTTGTATTTTTTTTTGACGAAGACTCTAAATAACACAACTCAAGAATAGATGAGATATACTAGAAGACACAACAAAACATAAAGATAGGTGAAACCTGTTTTGAATGTTGGCTCTGATACCAACTGATACGAACCCCGTAGTACTCGTTACGAGACCCTAATACCTTACATGGAAGCAAGATCGAAAAAATCCAAAAACAAAGATTCAAAGGGTGGAACCGCGACCCGTTGTTCGAAGAGTTCTTAAAGAACCAAAGAGAATAATATCATAATTTTATTTAAAATTCGTCCTATAAAATAAGCCAAATTGGCAACCTATTTATAAGATCTAAAAAGACTCATTTTTCACAAGGAAAAGGACTCCTACCTTAAACCATAATAAGGAAATAAATAAATAACCAAATCCTAACCATAAAAGACTCTAAAATAATAAAAACATAATAAATCCTAAATTAAAAATGTGCATAATTAAATTAAGTAACTTGATCATCAAGTCGACTTCTCGATCACCCTTCTTAACTCGCGACATTGGGCTGTGCACGTACATGCAATTAAAGCTCAATTTCGACACTGTTCCACTTCGAATATCTCTTTGCGCAAAACAAGAAAGTTGTAGATCTCTCAGTTTGCTTTCCGAATCATTTTGAATCAGCTTAAATGAACTTCAGATGCGAGAGTTACAACTCGAATGGTAAACTCTGCCAGAATAGGCGAGAATCTCGGATGCATGGAATTCGACTTGTCCAACGAATTCTTCTCTTTCTTTTCTTCCAATTCCAAACCAAGGACTCTTCAAAGGCCTGATTCAATCCTTTATTCTTAAATCCCAACACGAACGACTCCATTAATCTCACTCGCATTCTCTTCTTCCAGTTCTTTGTCTTGGAGCTTGTGCGGATCGTATCATTCTCCCCCTCTTTAAAAGGATTCGTCATCGAATCCGGACAAATACCACAAGGAGTATAAACAAAATCGATCTCATAATCGATCTCTCTGTTCGGTAGCAAACTTACACATCTCTGCCCCACATCGCAGAACACACCATCTTGCAGACATTGAAATGTGTACGAACATGGATATATTGTAGCTCGAAGTCCCAATGCGTCCAACCTCTGTATAGAGAATGGATGAACCATCTCTCTAGGCACCGCCATCTCATCAACATTCACAATGAGAGTTTGCATTTTGTTTATCTCAGCATTAACTTCGATGCATGGCTGGATCATATCATTCTCCACCTCTTCAAAAGGATTCGTCCTCGAATCCGAACCATCTTTTTCTTCAAGTGGTGGCGAGGGTTTGCAATTTTCTTCCCCCTTGGACTCGACCTCAACATTCTCACTTAAATTTCCCTCAATCAGCGGTTTATCAATTACTAAATCGAGTACAATGTTCTGATTCTCAAAAGCTTGATGAGAATCTTCGTTTCCAAGTGACGATAAAGAATCACCCTTTCTCTTCAATTCCTCGTCGTCCGACCGCAAATTCATGAATGGCTTATCCAAACAATCTGAAGCGACATGACCAAAACCCAAACACCAAAAACATTTAGTATCAGGAATTGAACGAGATTGAGAAGAATAATAACCTCTTGCTTTAGTCTCATATGGAGAATCGAATGTGGCCTCTCTCGGTATTGATTACCTATCTCGGTTTGATGAAGAGCTCCACCGTGATTTTCGACTCCGTGATCTCCTATCTTTTAACTGAGTAGCATGGGATGAATGAACTGAGTACTTACTTGATCTAGGATAATCATCTAACTCTCGCTTGTAATGACCTCGTCTTGGTCGATCGAACTGGGCTCCTCGCCGCAAATAAACATCTCTTGGTGTTGCAGCAGTCACACCATATCTTCTATCACCATAAACCTCCTTGTCACGATGAGGTAGAACCGGTTGGTGAACATCACGTCGTAGGTATGACCCTCGAACATGTTGATCTTTGTTTAGTTCCTTTAGTTGGGTAACAATTCCTTCCATCCGATCTTGGAGTTCCTCGAAGCGTTTATCCATTGGCGATATCCTACGCTGCTCAATTCTTTCTCCGTAATAACCGGCCTTCTCGGACATGATCAAAACAATTCTTTTTTTTTTTTTTTTTTTTTTTTTTTTTTTTTTCGTTTTTGACACTAATAAACCCTAACTTGGGCTGTAAGAAACTCTAAACAAGAAAAAAATTCGAAATCTTTTTTTCTTTTTTTTTTTTTTTTTTTTGACACGAACAAACCCTAACTTGACTTAAAAGAAACCTAAACAAAAAATAAAAAATCGATTTTTTTATTTAGATTTTTCCAGCCAAGTTAGGGTTTGTTTATGTCAAAAAAAAAAAAAAAGGAAGAACGAACTTTGTTCTTTGTTTTACAATTTCTTAGAGTCTAATTTCGAGTTTGTTAGTGTCACAAAAAAAAAAAAAAAAAAGATATTGCTTTGATCATGTCCGAGAAGGCGGATTATTACGGAGAAAGAATTAAGCAGCGTAGGATGTCAATGGAAAAACGCTTCTAGGAACTCCAAGAACGGATGGAAGGAATTGTTATGCAACTAAAGAAACTAAGCAAAGATCAACATGTTCGAGGGCCATACGTACGACGTGATGTTCACCAACCAGTTATACCTTATCCGGATAAAGAGGTAGATCATGATAGAAATTTTGGTGCGAATGCTACAAAATCAAGGAGGGAGAGTATGGGACGAATTTTGATGATTTAAATTGAGTTTATTCTCTTTGGTTCTTTAAGAACTTTTTGAACATATCGGTGGATTCCGTTTGTTCACCCCGACTTATCAATCGATCTTTCACAATCGATTGTGGCGTCTTCACATACCAAGGTTCTTGCCTCTTTATAGGCAACGGGTCGCGGTTCCACCCTTTGAATCTTTGTTTTTGGATGTTTTCGATCTTGCTTCCGCGTAAGGTATTAGGGTCTCGTAACGAGTTCTACGGGGTTCGTATCAGTTGGTATTAGAGCAATATCTTTTTTTTCATCCGACCTTGGAGTTCTTGGAAGCGCTTTTCCATTGACGACATCCTACGCTGCTCAATTC